GACTGCCAGCACCCCAACCGGGGTGCCCAGCCTCACCTCGAACTGGGGCCAGTTCATGGGCATCCCGGGGCCGCTGGTGCTGCGGAACCACCGGAGATCCTCTTGCGCGTCCGAGAGGCGGATGGTCTGCTCCAGCTCCCGGTAGACGTTGGCGTAGCTGCGAGGAGAGACGCGGGTCAGGGTGCTGTGGGTGGGGGTGGACCCCAGCGGGGTGGGACAGGGACATGCCCAGGTTGTCTTAGAGGCACTAAGGGTGCCAGGCTCCCACCCAGCCCTCCTGCCACTCTGGTACCTCTTCATGACCATCGTGTTGGCCAGAAACCCCTCTCCCTTGCATTGGAGGGGATGGGTCGTCCTGGAAGCACTCGGTCCCTCCAGGGCTTGGTTTGCTTTCCAGGCAGCACGAGGAGACCTTCTGTGGGCACTTTCTGCCCAGCCAGCGCAGGAGGCACCTACCTGCTGCTCTCGGCCAGGTTCAGGTGCCTCTTGATGTCCAGGAGCACTTCCTTGAGGAAGTTGAGCCTCTTCTCCTCAAACTGCTGGCACTGCTCAAAGACCTGCTCCATGCTCTCGATGTACTGCGGGGTGCACTTGTTCAGCTCATCCAGCACCTTCTCGTACTTCTCCTGAGTCTGCAAAGGTGCAGGAGGGTACCTTGGTTATACCTCGAGCACCTCAGAGGCCCTTTCTGGGTGCTGAGAGGCTCTGGTTGGTGGGCCACCATGCTGGGGAGCCCAGATTGAGCCAAGAGCCTCTGTAGGTGAAATCAGACTGGTTGTCGGAGAGATTTTGCCCCGGTAAGAGGGGTAAATCTCTGCCCTGCTCACACTCCCCTGAGCACTGCCTGCAAGTCCTCACCCTTCTACAGGAACGTAAGGATGGGAAAATGGGAATGAATGGGGGGAAAAGGGGCGTGGTGGCCATTTCCACTGGTTTTCCCTGCCCGATGCCTCATGAGCCAGGAGCAGGGCAGCGGCTCGCACCTTTTGCACGTCTTGCTTGCACTTTTCCACTTTGTCCTGGAGCTTCTTCTGTTGCTCGGGGGTGTTGGACTGCTCCGCCTTGCTGTTGGCTTCCCGGGTCATTGCCAGCTTCTCCTCCTTGCATGCCAGGTGGTAGGCTTTCTTGGCTGTCTCCAGCTATGGAGAGAAGAGAGAAGGGACATCAGAGTAACAGTCACAGCCCGCTGCCCATCCCTCTGCCTGCAGGGAGGTCCCACCCGGCTCTCCCAGCCTGGACCGGGCACCCAGAGCCGGAGCTGGGTGATGGCATGGGTGCCTCAGACATGCTGTGCTTCTCCTCTTACCTCCTTGAGCTTCTTGGCCCAGGGCTTCTGGGCTTTCCGGAAGCCGTCCTCAGCCTCCTTGGCCTCCTTGAAGCCTCCCATGATCTGCTTGTGGTAGGCGTCCTTCTGCCAGTTCTTGACCTTCTCGAACTTCTCGCAGTCGTCGTTCAGCAGACTGTTCTTCACCTCCTGGTGCAGCTCGCTCACCTTGTCCGCTTCCGTCATGATGGCACCCCATGCCTTCTCCAGGCTGCCGTACTGGGGACCTGGGGGGCAGAGGGGACAGCTGAGTGTCGCTCCACAGCCCTTACCCCCTCCACCTCTACCAGGTGAAGTTGTGATGGTGTAAGGGGACCCATGGGACCCAGGTGTCCTGGGGGACCCTCCCCCTGGGGAAGCCATGCTACCTTTCTCGATGAGCTGCCTCCACCGCTTGGACCAGTCGGTGAGCTGCTGGGCGTAGGACTTCTCGATCTTGGCCCGCTCGTGCACGCAGTTCATGAGGTCATTGCAGAGCCGGTGCCCGTCGTCGATGCGCTTCACCGTGCGCTTGTAGTTCCCCACCTGGGACGGGGA